CACACCCCGAAATAAATATGGAATACTTAGATAAATGTTAACAGCCTAAGTTAAGTTTCATGGATAATTATTCTCCTGACATGTGAATATCTGAGGTGTTTAAAACACAATGTTTTCATGATGTACTTTTACAAAACAGGAATTACACTTAGGGTTAAACCAGATCCAAGTACGTTATTTCACTTTGTGATTTGGCTTTCAGAGAAGACCAAAATAGCATGCTGCAATTTCAAACTTAAAGAACTGGTTAAAGATTTACATTCATAGCTTCCTATCAATATTGTGGGCCTTTTTTATAAATGGCAGTGCTTATTCAAGATCAGCTGGTTTAGCTCTCCTGATATTTAAAGCCCTCCTATCTCAAGCCTTCCTTTCTAACTCGTAATTACCACCATCATTTTGCTTCCTTTCTGCAAGCTGGAGGAGTTTAATCTATCTTACCTGCACAGCATCCAGTATTTCACGGCTCCTGGAGAGATGCTACATTTTCAATTTGTCCTTTTGTTGATTCAAATCAATCTTGTCAGACCAAAATTGTAGTTTGTCATCATTAAATGCCATCTTCTAGCAAACCAAAGTCTATATATCAACCACCTTCCTGCGTTTACATAATACGTTCTGGAACACCCATTTGATGGAGTGTTCTACACAGTGTCTTCCTATCAGGGTCAGTGAAAAGATGCTCAACATCATTCATCATTACAGAAATGTTAATATAAACCATAATTAGATACAGTTGACTCCAAAAAAATAGCTGTCATCGAGACAGCACATGAGAACCACCAATGCTGAGGATGGAGAGGGCTGGATCCTATACATTGCTGGTAGGGCTCTAATGTTGCAGCATTTTTTGGGAAATGATTTGACATTACTCAAAATGCTTCAATAAAGTTACCCTAGGACCTACAAATTCTGCCTCTAGGCATGAACACGTGTGAGAAATTATTTATTTATTTATTTATTGCTTTCTGGGTCACACCTGGCGATGCACAGGGGTTACTCCTGGCTCTGAACTCAGGAGTTACTCCTGGCAGTGCTCAGGGGACCATATGGAATGCTGGGAATCGAACCTGGGTCAGCTGCGTGCAAGGCAAACGCCCTACCTGTTGTGCTATCTCTCCAGCCCCACATGTGAGAAATTAAAGTACATATCCATACAGGAAGTTGTATGTGAACATTATTTTCTTAAAGTTGGTTAAGTGAAAACAACCATCATATCAACCTACAGATGAAAAGGTATGAAGCATTGATACTTGCTGCAGCATGAATAAACCTTGAAGACATTACATTAGATGAATAAGCTCAATCACAAATGAGAAGATACTATAACATGAAATATCTAGAATAGTTATTTATAGAGATGGGGTGCTGGAGACAAGAGATAGAGGGTATTGAGACAAAGGTTAAGGCATGTGCCTTGCAAAAGGTTGACCCAGGTTTGATCCCTGGCATCACATATGGACCATGAGGCACTCCCAGCAGTGGTCTCTGAGTTCTGCTAGGTAGGGCTCCCCAAACCCTCACAATAAAACCAAAAAAATAAAATAAATAAATAAATCTACAGTTGCCACCATGTCAACTGACCAAATGACCCTGCTCTACAGAGTCACAAACTAAATCTGAGGAGATGCAAGCGAAGTAGCTGAAATTCATAAATACCCTGTCCCTTCCACCCCTCATGAAAACTCTGGGGCACCCTTGGGAGGTGGGGTGGGCTGAGTCTCTGCCCTGCTGAAGCCTCAGTAGGCATCCACACCCCCACATCCCACTGCTGCCATCATGCCAACAGCCCACATCCTAACTCCATGGCTTCACTAAGAATCTCTTCAGACCCATCCCAGTTCTGCAGATTCTGAAGTTTCTGGACATCCACAAATTCCACAGTACTGAATTCCAGTGGGAGCACAGTATTAGAGGAGAAAGTACCATAGAAGACAACTAAGCTCAACAAATAAGCAAAAAACACACAGAAGGCTCAACTAGTGACAAACAGCTTAGTAGTAAATCCTCGGACAAAGAGTTAACAACTCCATTGTGAGATATATCAATTTTCAAAAATTTTCTTTTACTGAAGTATTTTTGATAATTCCTTTAGCCACTCAGTTGTAACAAGCAATATAAGACAAACTATTGTGAGCCTGCTAAGGGGAGAGGCTTAGATTAGAGGTTGGTTGGGAAAGTAGGGAGGGACAAGGGTGGAAGAAAAGTCACTCAGATGGTTGGATTGGTGTTGGAACATTAAAAGCTTTTTATTATGAACAACGTTGTAAATCATGGTGTTTAAATAAAGTAAAAAAATTAGAATTTTTTTCAAAAGTGAGTAGAGAGAAAAAAAGAAGTCTACGGAGACAGAAAGATTCATTGCAGCCTTAAAAATGTGGGAGCTGGAAAAAAGGGGGCCAAGGATTGGGGAATAACTGCTAATCAGTAGAGGAGTTTTTACTGGATGATAAAAATCTAAAATTGATTGTAATAATATCTACATATATCCTACTATCTCTGTAAGGATAGTAAAAACCACTGACTAGGAACGGTACTACAGTGGGTAGGGTGTTTGCTTTGCATGTTGCCAACTCAAGTTTGATCCCTGACATCCCCTATGCTCCACAGAGAACTGCCAAGAATAATTTCTGAATGCCAGGGGCCAGAAGTAACCCTTGGACATAGGCCAGGTGAGACCCAAAAATTCAAAAACAAAAACAGCCACTGACTAGGATACACTTACATTTTTATTTTTGATGTGAGAAGCTAGAGATCGAACCCAGTTCTCCTGCATGCAAGGCACACACTTGACTGTTTAAACCATGTTCCCTGTCCTGCAATGCATGCCTGAAAAGGGTGAATTACAAAATAGAAGAACCATATCTCAGTAAAGTCACTTAAAAAAAAACAAAAATAAAAAACAATCTGAATACCAGACCCCTGACACTCTTTTCAGGGACAAAAACAATAATTTCAAAAGCGGGCTGATTTAGGAAAATAAGGACATTTAGCATTTATTCCTTTTCCAGACACTGTTGCTTTAGTTCACTTACAATTTTATCTGCTTATCCCATGTGATATGTAATCAGCGCTCAGAGCCTCAGCAGGAAGTTCGCAATGCTTCTTTTAAACACACTTTAAAAAGCAATTTAATAACATTACCTAATTGTGCACTAGAGCCCTGCTTTGATGCCGTTTTATGATCTTACACTCTTGCTTTCTATTTTGAAATAACAGAAGGGCTTGCACAGATAATGAATTTGAATTTACCGAACTTCCTTTCACGCAAAAGAAGAAAAAAAAAGGTTATTTCCAGGACAAATAAAAGAAAGTAATGTTCATGGAAGTTGTTAAATCTCAAAGTCATCGACTGAGATTTAACAACTCGGTTTAAAAGTGGAGACTTCAACCATAAAATATCATCCAAACATGCAAGAATAGCACTTATAAATAGTTTGATTTAAATTCATTTTTTAAAGATAGTTTCATTGCTCTTTAGTGATGAATTATTTATATACTGCTTTATTTCCAAATCTGTTTCACTAAGTCATGTGACTCCACCTACCCCACTTGATCTTTCTTAAGATGCACATAGCCATACCAGCTTCAACCTAGTCTCCTAGAGAAATGCTGAGTTCCTCTGAGCACTGTTTCCCGAAATTTGAAACACTGTCCCCCAGGGGGACACTGACAGTTCGAGGTGGGGAGATAAGTCCCAGCTACTATAGGGGCTGGGAGTCTAAAGCAAATTCTTCTGGACAGGGACAGTTTCCGTTATGTTGCTCTTTCAAAGCCTAGAATAAGGAAGAATGAAGCCTCATTCAGGAGTCTTTGCTTCTGTTTGCTGATAGCATGGAGTGTACTTTGGGGACTACAAGAAAAGTGACCAGTCTATAACCCACTAGCCTGCAACCTTTCTGTTCTAAAACAGTGTTCTCCTGTTCTTTTTTCCCTATAAAAAAAAAATCACTTCTTCAGACCATACAAAAAGATGGTAACTGAAGACATGGGATTTTCCATTTTCCATCAGAGATATGATATCTGATATGCTGCCCAGTTTCCAATAAAATTCTTTCTCTATGCTCCAAGAAATTATTTATAAAGTTTCAAACACCAAACCCAAATGAAATACATTGAAATACATAACATGTGTAATGGTGATAAAAGAGCACAATTAAAACTAAGTTAACCATTACATTTCAAAAGTGGTTTTATAACCATTATAAACTTCTAAAAACTTTCAGTCCCTTAAATGTGGTCACTGCCATAAACAGTAAAATCCAAATTTATGAAAATAAATTTCATAGGAATACCATCTTTCTGGTGACTAAAATTGTTATTGCAAATAATTTGTATGGAAATATTAAGACACTCCCATTTTAATTTTGCTGTAGTACAAGATTAGATGTATATGTTTAATTTATTTTGCTATACCTTTTTTATTCAAACCCCATAAAAACATTTTATACATGCATAGGCTTACAATTTTCACACTGGATTAGTTTTTTTAAATCTGAGTAAATAGATCAAGAGTTATAAATAGTCATAAATAGCAAAATCTCACTTTAACACCCCCCCCCCCCCGCCCGCCACAACCCGTATCATTCGTTATCTGATATTCTGAGTACACACTCTGGATAAACCTCTTTCAGCAAACCTTTTTTCTATTTATTATTGGATGACAGTAGAGATTCTCTGAATCTTTTTAGTTTGTTTTTGGGCCATACCCAGCAATACTCTGTGCTTATTCCTGGCTCTATGCTTAGGGGTCACTCCTGGTGGTACTGGGGGACCAGATGAGGTCCTGTGGATGGAATCTGACCGGCCGTGTAAAAGGCAACTGCATTAGCCCCTGGATGAGCTCTCTGGCTACTCTCTGAATCATATTTCTCAGAGTCAAATACTAAATCATTTTCATTGAAATGAAAAAAAAAACTGCATGAATACATAAATCCGTCCTAAAAAAACAAAGGACATGACAACAAATTTAAAATTAATTTTTATTTAAGTGTACATAATATATAAAAATTTGGTTCATGAAAAATATGTCCATGTTAAGTTCCTGAAAGATCACAAATACTTAAATATAGTGCTTTGAATCCCATTTTACCCAATACTATGAATCCTTTTGGTCCCTGGTCTGTCTCTGTTTCCTCTTCTAATACCAGATGCAGAACCTAACTACTCCCATGGGGAGGATGGAGAAGCCAAAGGTCCTGGGGAGACCAGTCTCGGAGCATTATGACTGTGGCATGTAGATTGAAGTTCTGCTATTCCATACAAGCTGCAGCAGTTACTAACCATTCTGGAGTTCGATCAGCTAACATTAGTATCCAGCTTCCAATTTCCACTCTCTGAAATATTTCTCCATGGTGCTCCTCGAATTAAAGGTGCCGACATTCACGGTAGGTATGATTTTCTTTGGCTTTAGCCACTGAACAAAACGCTTCATTTCTGTGTAGCTGCTGTGTTCACTATAAGGGATTCCTACGATTCAAAAGAAAAGATATAGCCTACTAAAAATCAAATTGAATTTTGAAAACAGCACAAGTCCAAAATAAAATCACAAAGAAAAAGCAATCTGGAATACATTTGTCAAACTCCCTCAGGCTTTATTTCTCACACACAAAAAAACCTGTTAATACCTTTACAGTTAACAAAGAATAAAACCAATAAAATGACTCAAAAGATTTCTATTACTTTTCTATGGAGATACTAAGAAATGGGCTGGGAGGCTGGAGAGATGGCACAGCGGGTAGGGTGTTTGCCTTGCACGTGGCCGACCCGGGTTCGATTCCCAGCATCCCATGTGGTCCCCCGAGCACCACCAGGAGTAATTCCTGAGTGCAGAGCCAGGAGGAACCCCTGTGCATCGCCGGGTGTGACCCAAAAAGCAAAAAAAAAAAAAAAAAAAAAAAAAAAGAAAAAAGAAATGGGCTGGAGCGATAGCACAGTGGTAGGGCGTTTGCCTTGCACGCAGCTGGCCCGGCTGACCTGGGTTCGATTCCTCCGCCCTTCTTGGAGAGCCCGTCAAGCTATGGAGAGTATCTCGCCCACACAGCAAAGCCTGGCAAGCTACCAGTGATGTATTCAATATGCCAAACACAGTAACAGCAAGTCTCACAATGGAGACATTATTGGGCCCACTCGAGCAAATCGATGAACAGGAGGACAGTGCAGTGCTTAAAATAATTCTTCCCTTAAAGGACTTGACATACTTACGGATTTCAAAAATTCCCAAGTATATATAAAATATGAATACTTTCTTATTAAAATTTTTTAAAATTTACTTTTGCTTTTGGACCACACCTGGCAGTTACTCAGGGCTTATTCCTGTGCTCAGGTAGGTTCTGTCACTCCTGGTAGTCTCAGAGGACTGTATGGGGTGCCAGAGAGAGAACCCAGTCATCCGTGGTCAAGGCAAATGCCCTTTCTGCTATTGCTCCAGCCTTGAACACTTTAAGCAGAAAACTAATTTTCAGAACAAAAAAGAAGTTTCAGTCCTCAAACATTACACAAACCTCCACCCCCCAAAAAAAATCAGAAGAGGGACTGAAATCCAATCATGAACAGCATTGTAAGGGTCTATATCAGAGAGATTCAATTCAAAAGTTAAAAATAGGGACTGGAGAGATAGCACAGAATGGTAGGGCGTTTGCCTTGCACGCGGTTGGCCCAGGTTCGATTCCCAGCCTCCCATATGGTCCCCTGAGCACCACCAGGAGTAACTTTTGAGTGCAGAGCCAGGAATAACCCCTGTGCATTGCCAGGTATGACCCAAAAAGAAAAAAAAAACAGAAGACCTGCAGTTCCCTCTGGACACCAGTGATCCCACACATGAAAACCCCTGTATGCCGCATCCTCTCTGCACCTCTCCTCTCCATGGTATCACTTTACAAGCTACAGAAGAGACGATTTCGGAGCTCTTGAAGCAATTTAAAACTCTTGAATTGTTAAGGCTTCTCTGTCACCTTTCTTGGATCTTAATTTTACAAAATTGTTTTTTTTCCAAGTAATTATACCCACTACAAGTAAACAATTGAGTCACTATACCATATATCGAAATGTTTCCTTTGGTCTGAGGTGTGACATCTGCCATACTGGTTAACTTATTGGAGTGTGTCCATCCTGTCGGTCGAAAAGCCAAAATCTGATCATACTTGCCATCAAACTTCTTCAAATGTTTCTGTAAGCCCTGTTCAATGAAAGTGAGATATTTATTTCGTGTTTGGGTTATAGGAAATAAACAGAATGATTAAAGATGTTACATCAGCATAGTCAGAGGGAATTTTCATTTGGCAAGCATTAGCCAGCAACTGAACTAGTGCTCTGATTTCAAAGTGACTAGGAAAAAATATTTTTTTTTCCCCTGTAGCACTATAGCACTGTCCTCCCATTGTTCATCGATTTGCTCGAGCGGGCACCAGTAATGTCTCACAACAAATTGTGAGACTTGTTGTTACTTATTGTTTTTGGCATATTGAATACATCACGGGTAGCTTGCCAGGCTTTGCCATGCGGGCAAGATACTCTTGGTAGCTTGTCGGGCTCTCCAAAGAGGGGCAGAGGAATCGAACCTGGGTTGACTGAGTGGAAGGCAAACCCCCTACCTGCTGTGCTCTAAAATCACACAAGCTTATGTTTAGACTGAAGGGAAGATGAGACATCCAGGGGCCAGAGAGATAGGACAGCAGGTTGGCAGAATGCTTCGTTGCATACAGCTGACCCAGATTCAATCACCAGCATCCCATATGGTCCCCCCAAGTCCCTTCAGGAGTCATTCCCAAGCACAGAGCACTTCTGGCTGTATTCCCCCCCGCCCCAGGCATCTGTAAACATGAGTTATATATGGAAAAATTAGAATGCAGATACCCACTTCAAAAAATAAAATCCCTTCAAGTGCTACCACTATTTGGCTACAAACTATTAGGATGTCAGGGGCATTAATATTAGTACTGGTAAATATCAATCCAAATATAGACCCAAGCATATGTAGCAGCAGAGTATTGACTCACATAGAGAAATACTTTTTTTTTCTTTTGCTTTTTGGGTCACACTCAGCGATGCACAGGGGTTACTCCTGGTTCATGCACTCAGGAATTACTCTGGGGACCATATGGGATGCTGGAAATCGAACCCAGGTAGGGCTGAATGCAAGGCAAACGCCCTACCTACCCGCTGTGCTATCACTCCAGCCCCTAAAGAAATACTTTTAAGATCAAAGAGGGCTAGGGAAAGCTCAAAGGCCTGGAGCACATGAGCAGTGTGCACTAGAAGCAATTCCATCACTGATACCTCAAGGCCGCTCCCTCCAAACCAGAGGGGTGGCCCTGGTGGCCCTCAGCATGGCCCAAGCAGCACCATATCACAGGGCCCAAAGCACGGAGCCAACAGGCCTACAAGTAAACAACTGAATCACTACACCACATATTGAAATGTTTCCTTTGGCCTGAGGAGTAACATCTGCCATCCTAGTTAACTCATTAGAATGTGTCTAATGGGTAGAGCATCCGGGAGGTTCCTAACCTCCAGACCCACCCCAGCACTACTTGGGAGGCCCAAATCACAAAATAAAACAAACAGAGCACACTCTGCACAGACATGCATTTTATTTCCTACTATTATTTTAAAATTTTTGTGTTACACACAGCCATGCTAAGGGCTTACTCCTGGCTCTGTGTTCAGGGTTCACTCCTGGTGAGCTCAAGGACCATATGGATCAAAACTGGATCAGCTGTGTACAAGGAAGATGCTCTACCCACTATTTCTCTGTCCCCTTTATTTTACTTTTCTCTTGTTTAAATTTTTGAGCCACTCCTAGTAGTGCTTGGAGTGAGACTGGTGGGTGCAGGACGGCATATGCCAGGGCACAAATGGGAGTCTTTATAAACTACGGAAAATATTCATGTACATATACCAGACAATGCGCTAATATCCAAGGAATAGAATCCATAAAACTCAACAACCACAAAAACAACCCATCAAAAAAGTAAGGAGAAAAACTGGAAGGACACTTTCCTAAAGAAGTCATATAAGATGGACAATGGGCATATGAAAAATACTCATCACTGAAGTCATGAAATTTGCTTATAAGTGGATGGACATGGAGAGTACATGTTGCTAAGTGAGATGAGTCAGAAAGAGAGGGACAGACATTGAATGACTGTACTCATCTGTGGAATATAAAATCACACAATATGAGTCTAACTCCAAAGGTCAGTATAGGAAGGGCCAGAAAGATTGCTCCACGGTTGGAAGCCGGCCTCATTAGCTGGCATAGAGAAGGGATCACTAAGTCAATGACTGTTTGAGGGATTGCTTGGGATGGGAGATGTGTGCTGAAAGTAGATAAAGGACCAAACATGATGGCCTCTCAGTATCTGTATTGCAAACCATGATGCCCAAAAGTAGAGAGAGAAGGTAAGAAGGAAATTGTCTGCCACAGAGGCAGCGGTAGAGTGGGGTGAGGGTGGCGGGAGGGATACTGGGGATATTGGTGGTGGAAAATGTACACTGGTGGAGGGATGGGTGTTTGATCATTGTAAGACTGAAACTCAATCATGAAAGCTTTGTAAGTGCATCCCATGGTGATTCAATAAAAATAAATTTTATATATATATATATATATATAAAGGGAAAATACTTGTCATTATTTATTCTCAGGGAAATGCCAATCAAAACTACCATATCGGATCACAAAGGTTGGTAGGCAAGTGAAGGGAGGTAAATTGATCCATTCTTTATGAAAACCAGTAAAGAGGTTTCTTAAAATGCTAAAACAGATCTAGGAATTCCTTTCCTGGGTATCTGCTGGAAGAACGCACATAAAAGCCTAATCCAGAAGGATACTGACACTCCTCTGTACACTGGCAGCGCATTTTGCAACAGCCCAGATACAAAAGTAATCCAAGTGCGGAACTGTTCTGAGTAGTGAGGTTTGATGGATACCACTGCTAGGTATCAAAAATGTTAGTGAATGGGAGAAATCTGAGCATGTGAATCAGTGCAAAAATGCTCAGCATCAAATGTATCTTAAGTTATGCCTCAGCACCATCACTGGAACTTCCTCTTAGGATACACTCGTCATTTCATTTAATTCACACAAGTAAAATTCCAACATCTATCAATAGTATGGGGGTTAATATTAATCACACACACACACACACACACACACACACACACACCTACTTAAAAACAGTGAATATTCCTCTGGAAAGATATTCGAGGACCATGTTCACTACAACGTAATTTCAAAAGCAGATAAAATGGGATTCTAGTTACATTCGTTAGGTTTGGGTTTCTTGTTCAACCTCAAAAGCGATAACTCCTGATGCTTACCTTAAAATTAATTTGCATCATTGGGAGAAGGTGAACCAGGGAACTTCTCATATCAGTTGTGATGAGGGAATTCATTTCTGGTATATTGAGGCACTGTAACATTTTATATTTTTCTTGGGACATTCCCACTTTTGAACCTAAAACATCAGCAATGGCTATAGGCAAAAAAGAAGTTTACAATAGCAAGATTATAGGTTTTACTTTTTTTTTTTAAGTTACAGCTTAATCACTTTTCAAGAAAAGAAATCACTTTCTACTCTTGTCATCTCAAAAAGGCTGCATAATTCTGTGGTGTGTTGGCTGTGTAAATTTTGAAAAATTAAAAAAATCATTTTAAAAGATACAGTTCTTTAAAAGTTGCAAAAGATATACAGAAGGAGGGTAGAGGAAGGAGAGTAAAAACCTTGTTTGGAAGTGTTAACCCCTTTCTCATTTCATATCTTTGTTACTATTGTTTAGATAGGTCACTTCTGTTGGTGCTGGTGTGTGTCTGTGAGAAAGAGACAGATGTGTGTGTATGCATGTGTGTATGAGACCCACTGTGTAGCCCAGTGTGTAGGGGAGTGTGTGTGTATGTGTGTATGTGTGTGTGTTTATGTGACAAAGAGACCAGGTGAATGGATGTGTGTGGAGACCAGGGTGTGAGTGTGTATGCATGTGTGTATGTGTGTGTGAGAGAGAGAGAGAGAGAGAGAGAGAGAGAGAGAGACCAGGTGTGTGTGTGGTGTGTGAGAGAGAAAAAAAGAGCGAGGAAGAGGGAAAGGGAGAGGTAAAGAGAGAGAGAGAGAGAGAGAGAGAGAGAGAGCAGTTGTGTATGTATCTGTGTGAGGAAAGTGGGGGATGGGTGAGAGAGAGTAACAGAGAGAGAGAGAGAAACCAGGTATGTGTGTATGAGCGTGTGTGTGTGTGTGTGTGTGAGAGAGAGAGAGAGAGAGACAGACAGACACAGACAGACAGACCAGCGTGTGCAAACAAATGCCCCTACCAGCTAGATTATAGCTCTGGTGATCACTTCTGATCTTTAAAATTTGATAATATGTGACCAAAGTTAGGAAGAAATGGAAAGAATGGAAAGTATTTTACAAAATAGTACAATAATATTTTGATAAACTAAGTAAAAAACTATTCCTTAAAATAATAAATTGATTATTGTCAAGAATGCAGTGATATAACACGATCAAAGTATCTTTCAAACTCCGTTAAGATACTAAGGTAGCTTGGACATTTTTTGTATAAACAAACTTTATTTATTCTAAAATTATTTAGTTTTGTCAAATAAAGACTACCATAAGCACACTTATCAAAGTCTCCATTAATAGAAGCCTTTCAAAGTTGAAGGGAGTCCAGCTTTCTAAAATCTCGATTCAGCTTCAAAGGTAAAAGTCAACCATTTCAGGAAATAATTATCAAGTGCAAGAACAAAAACTCGGAGGGCTTCATTCAAAAAAGAATCTAATCTTTATAATATATTAATGTGAATTAGATCCAGCTACCACCCACCTAGGAAGACTTTCTCTTTTCCAATAGAGTAAGTGCCACAGACAACCAGCACACGTGGGTTTAGAGTTACAGTCTCAAAGGCGGTGTTGATGGCAAACTGGATAACCTCTTGCTGAGAGGGAAAGGCGTATTCTGGGCTACAGTAGCTGTCAGGTAGAAATATGAAAAGAACAAAAATGTCATAGCATTAAGACAGATGCTATTTTAAAAATAACCGAGCAAAATTATACACAATGGTGGCAAGATGCATTAATGCCATTGATAATATCTCACAGGAGGTGCTCACATTATTTGTGACCAGTTAATGATTATTTCTGATAGAGTGTTCTATTCTTGAATATATCTTTTCTGTTCTATTTCTTTTATCACAACCAGAAAAAGAAATTGACTTTTTACTTCAGGACTATACTGAGCCAGTCAGATGTATTAACTATTGAGTTATAAATACCGATGTCACTTGTTTTAGCCCCAATCTTTATGGAAAATACTATTGATCAGGATTAATTTTGGAATAAAGAACTGTCTTAATAAAAAAAATTATAAAAATAACAAAACTAAACAGGAATCTAGTGAAGTAGTTTTAAATTAAAAGCTAATAATATGGGCTGGAGCGATAGCACAGCAGGTAGGGCGTTCGCCTTACAAGCGGCCAACATAGCCGACCCGAGTTCGATTCCTCCGCCCCTCTCGGAGAGCCTGGCAAGCTACCGAGAGTATTCGATATGCCAAACACAGTAACAACAAAGTCTCCAATGGAGATGTCACTGGGCCCGCTCGAGCAAATCGACGATCAACGGGAGGGCCTTTACCTTTTACCTTTACCTTATTTTGGGCTGAGAGACAGTACAGTGGGTAGGGTGCTGGCCTTGCATGCAGCTGACCCAGGTTCAATCCCCTACATTCTGTATGGTCCCCAAGCACCACTAGGAGTGATTTCTGAGTGCAGAGTCAGGAGCATTGTACTCAGATGTGGCCCCCAAACAAAAACAAATAATAAAAGCTAATATTTGCATATTTTCCACCTGGAAGACATTACATAAAAACACAATAAAAAATTAACACTTGACACTATAATCTATACATATTTGAGACAAAAACTAAGCACTTCCATTTGTTTTTTGTTTGGTTTGGTTTTTGGTTTTGTTTTTTGGGCTACACCCGGCAATGCTCAGGAGTTACTCGTAGTGGGGCTTGGGAAACCATAAGAAATGGCAGGGATCGAACCCACGTAGGCCATGTGCAAGGCAAGTGGTCTACCTACTGTCTTATCTCTCTATCTCAAAACTAAGTATTTTTTACTAAAAAGGTTGTGAGGTACAAACACCAAAGACATATTTCCCCCTTCAATTTTCAAAATTGTTTGATCATTTCCCAGTAGAACAGAAAAAAAAAAATAGCTCTTTCTCTTATAAAAACACATAAAGAAATTAGAATTGTATGCAAAATAGAACTAATAAGCAGCAAATGACTATTAAACATTCGTAATTTTTCTTGGATTTAAAGTGCATATAAAAGAATTGGAAAGATTGGCTACAGTGTACAAAATTGAATAATATGATCATCTTTTGCTAAAATATGCTAATTAAATTCGCTAAAATAAGCCAATTAAATTGACTTCCTGAAACAGGTTGAAAAGTTCACAGAATTTGTAACAAACTGATTAAGTATTCTTAAAATATAGAATTAAAAGATAATGGCTTATATCATTATGTTTCTCGCACTGAGAAATTCAAGATTGTCACTTACAAATGATCTTTTTGAGAACAAACAGAGTAATTTTGAATACTGAGAAACAGAAAACATTTGGGTCTGTGTTCTCCATGGATACAGTTTGTAGCTGGTCTCTGAAAGGATAATCTAAAATGGTGTCTTCCAAAACTTTGTCCCATCTTTTCAAAAATTTTTTTGTTTCAATCACAAGATTTTTACATAAACTCTACTATCAAAAGATAATCAGAAAAAAAAAACCATTTTGATCCATAGTCAGTTAAGACCTGGGCTCCCAAATCTGTTCTTAGGTATATTTCTTCCTTTACGAGAACCTTAAAATAATTGACAGTCTATGTCATCATCCTGAGGTCCTACCTAACTAACACACAGGAAGCACTCCTAACCCAGTGCAGAAAGGCAGCAAACAAACAAAGCCCCTCTTACGTGGTATCTAAATAAAGCGTGTGGATTTTCTGGGTAGCCAGCAGAGAGCGTTCCATGGAGGGGTCGGCTCTGAAGTCCCCCGTGTGCAAGATGACAAGGCCATTGGGGAGATGAAAAAGGATCATGACAGCACCTGGACAGCTGAACACAAACATTTCAGAGGAGTCTTTTGAAGTCACCATCCTTGACAATATTATAATATTGTTCTTTAGAGCTGTATGATACTGTCAATGATAACGTTTCATGCCGACGACATTCCAGCACCATCCTTCCACCAGTGTCCATTTTTCTCTACTATTGTCCCTGAATCCTGCCATCCTAACACAGCTTACTTCGGCATCCAAAGGACATTCTATCAGCCGACCACAAAGTGCATTATCCTCCAGAGGCAAAGTAGCACTTCAGTTTTTAGTTTGTGGTCTTCTGGGTCACACCCGGCAATGCTCAGGGGTTACTCCTGGCTCTGCACTCGGGAATTACTCCTGGTGGTACTTGGGGGGGGACCATGTGGGATGCTGCGGATCAAATCTGGTTGATTGTGTGCAAGGCAAACGCCCTGCCTGCTGTATTATCACTGAGGTCCTCAATGTAGCACTTTAACATTAGGACTTTGACATCAATTGAAGAGAAAGAAAAAGAAAAGAAAGGCATGGAAGGACTGACCCTCAAACCCAGCCGCATTCCTGGGAAAGGCCTCTCCTTAGGCCTAGCCCTGGATGGCCTTTGGGAGATCTGTTTGGAGCCATCCTCAGAGCTATTGATACGAGCCCGAAGTGATGAACCTGGTGTTCCCAATCTTCACGCTACCAGTGTGATCTACAGTGAAAGTTGTGGTTTTTGCTCAGGGGACTGGAGTGTGAGTAATGGAGGTCAGTCCCGTGGCGCTTCCTGCATTAATGACTGACCCACTAGAAAAACCAGTGAAAGGAAAAGTTCAGTGTGCAGTGCCAGTGACGTCCCTCTGTGTGCAGCTAGCAGAAGCACTTGGTAGGGATCCCTGAACACCTGTCCTGGGGCTCTCCTTTTGTCGCTGCCTGTGCCCCGTTGTCCTTTGCTGACATGAGTCTGCAGTCCCTTGCTAAGATAATCTACCCCCTAAGAATATAGCAATAGTCTTTCTGGGTCTTGTAAGTCCTGCCCCAGTGAACCATCACTTAAAGGTGGTTCGAGTCAACTGCCTGACACCTGGGGTCTGTCTGGAAGTGGTTGAACTTTCATTTTGAATTCTTGCACAGCACCGGAAGCAATGGCATCTGTCATCTAAAACCATTCCCTTACCTCCCTCCTTCAAACCTTCAGATCTCAATGATTTTAGCAGGAAGTTATATCCACATTCAATACTACAAAATCTTTAGAAAAGAGAAAGGGGAGGAATACGTCATGAAACCAATCTTTTACGAATCTCAAAATCAGACAAAAGCATTATAAAACACTCCAGAACAATACCCATCATGAAAATAGACTAGTCATTATTTCGAATAAAAAGGTTCTTAAATAACCATGCCAAGGCATTTTTCCTTTGAAATACTTGTAAAAGACTATTATTAAAGTGACTTACTGATTAGCATCGAGTAGAACAACACTGACACCATTCACTATACATTCAGTGTTCATTGGCAAAGTGTGGATATATTGTTCTTGCACATGAAGTTTGCTCTTCAATAAGTTGCCAGTTATCTGAAAAAAAAACAATGTTATTGAGACTGACACAGAAGAAAATTCCTAACGGTCTTCTATTGTATTGTATTCATGATCTATTGCTTAGATCATGAGCATCGTAGAACCTGAGAAGGGAGCACCTATTCTCTCACTAAAACTCATGCCAGCCTTTCAAAACTTCATGAAAAGACTGTTACTTAGACACCGTCTTCTGTGCCTCACCTAAGATGTCCTTCATTCCTGCCCAACAGAAAACTCCTCAGTTCTGGCCCTGGTCAATTCTGCAAGATTATTTTCTGCCATTTCCTGTCTCCTGGTTAGCGGTTCTGAATTCTCCCAAGGCATCTGGCTTGGCAATGTCACCTGTGCGTGCCTCTAATAACTCTCCATCCTCTTGTTTCTCTACATGCTTCTGGAATAGGACAAACCTGCGTTTCAAGCCAGGCCCAGCCATCATTTGCTCTGGGATAGGAGGCATATCTCCATGAAGACAAAGAGGATAATCTAAGTACACTGTGAGGATCAAATGGAATTTGAGCCCAAACCCTCAGGAGGGGCATTAGAGTGTGTGACTTTCAGGACTTACTTTAAGGTATCTCTTCTGCCACAAAGTTTTCCCTAACCTTCTTATAGACACAGTGACGCATTCTCTTCTCCTCAGCTCTCATTTCCCACTACAGACCATCCCATAGTGCTGTTATTGATGAAGACTTCCGCTGAAGTCTCTGGAACTGTGGAGTTGTGTATTCTGCCTTGAGGATCTTTGAAGACTCTCAACAAATATGGATCGGAAGAAACTTAGGTCTAGTACACTCGGCAGCACTTGATCTATTATTTCCACACAAGAAAGCCTATTTCAAAAACCAACTGCCACTACGTGTAGTGACTCATTTACTTTTAGGCTCTGAGTATACAACTGATTTTATCTTCTCGAGCAGAAGGACTGCTCTTACTGTCACCAGAGTTAGTCTTTGGAAATCAGTCGCTTAAAAACTCACTGCACCCTGCAAGTGTGAAAGTGCATTAGGAATGCAGATCCCTCCCACTTACCTGGCTGCAATAAACTGGAAAGGTGAAGGCTTTGGACAGGCCAGCATAGTGATCGGAGTGAAAGTGTGTGAGGAAATAGGCTGTGCAGCCTTCAATCGGTCCATACTGAAAGGCATCCACTGAGAAGCCAGTTCCTGCAAAGACAATACCAGCCCAGCAGCTTGACCAACAGCCAGCGAAGGACAAGACAGCTAGTCTGATTAAAACGCTAGACCCCTCTCACAGTTTTACCTCTCATTTCCAACTTAACTCTATTTGCCGTTTTTTTTTGGGGGGGAGGGGGTGGAGGATGGAGGACACAATTAGTGGTGCCCAGGGCTTACTCCTGGCTCCTTGCTCTGGGATCACTTCTGGAGGGGCTTGGGAAACACAACAGAAATTATCCATGGGGAGTGGGGAGGCAAATACTGCTATACCTCCAAGGGGACAAAAATGGTTGAAGACACAAGTAATGTGAATTTTGCCATAATCTAACATGACATAATAAAATAGTGGATAAAAAGAACTGTAATATTTCAATCAGGCTTAATTCTTTTGCAAATCACAACACTCAAAAGGAGAGAGAGAACAGAGGGGAATGCCCTGCCACAGAGGCAGGGTGGGATGGGGAGCGGGAGGGATACTGGGATCCGTGGTTGGTGAGAAATGGGCCCTGGTAGAGGGATGGGTATTCGAAATAAATAAATACATAAATACTAAATGTTAAATAATTACACACATTTTAAAAAATTTGATTAAAAGTAGATAATACTTTAAAAAAGAACTGCAATGTTTCATATTTCATCATGGGGGGAGGGCAAGGATATAGGAAAAGGAAGGAAACAAGCAAAATGAAGTTTCTCAAAGTTTCTAGAAAAGTAGTAATGGGGTGGGGTTGGGAAACTATGGAACAGTTTTGAAATATATTCATGAAAGAAAAAACCCAGATGTGTTGCAGTGATACACGAGAAGATAAGCAAAAGTACACAACTTAAGAGGTTTATTAACACACAAAATTCTATTTTTAGGTCCACTTAAAATGCAAAAAAAAAATTATCGAAAGCAAAACTAATTCTATAGTATATGCTATTCTCTACACAAATATTCTGAACCATAGAAAAACACTTAAAACATCTGAAGCCAAGTGTATCCAGGCAGTCTTTTCAGAAGAGTTAACGGTTTCTTCACTAATAAAATTCATTTCTTGTGTGACGAGAGTAGACTATAGACCGAACAAAACTGCCACTCCAATGTCTCTTTTGCAAACCACAGCACTCAAAATGAGAAAGATAACAAAAGGGAATGCCCTGCCATAGAGGTAGGGTGGGATGGAGGGATGGGGGGAGGGAGGGATGCTGGGGCTGGTGGTGGTGGAGAATGGGCACTGGTGGAAGGATGGGTATTCGATCATTGTATAACTGAAACCCAAGCACAAAAATTTGTAAGTCTACAACTGTACCTCATGGTGTTTCACTAATAAAAATTTAAGAAAAAAAATTCATTTCATGACAGTTCTAACTCATCTATGAAGTTATGAGAAACCACAGCATGAAAAGGGTAAGACACTAAGTTCTAATATGGTTAAAAAATAGGGGATCCTAAGCCAAGTGTCACCCAGTGATCCCAGAATGTTCCCAATCCCCTCCCCAGCAACTAATCTCATCTTCAGAACTGAGTTGTCATGGGTACAGCCACACACTTTAGTCTATGAACAAATAAATAAAAGAAGAACCTGAGAGACAGGACAGGGTGAAGGGGCTTGCCTTGATACAACCAACCCAGGATCAATCCTGGGTACCACATATGGTTCCTGAGTTGCCAGGAGTGATCTCTGAGCACAAAGCCAGAAATAAGCCTTGACCACTATCAGTTGTGGCCTAAGAACAATACTTGGCATGTATTATGCCACATATAACCTGTGATATCTTCCTTGTCTGAACTATTAAGTACTTCTCTAAAGTGATCTATTCAGCATTTCTCTAAACTGATCAGGGAAAGCCTTTGATTAGAGTCCTACCTCCTTCCGGATTATGCTGATCTTTACTGATTTTTGCCAAATCTGTAATCTAGTAATAATCTACTAATCTAACTAGTACAATGTCCAAAACAGAAATATTAGTAAGAGTTTCCTGAATTAGGGGTAAAACGCCCCCTCCCCCCGAGTCATACTATAGGTCAATGAAGTATTATGAAGAGTATAGGAAACCCCAAAATTGTTTTGTACTCATACACACAATAGGTGCAATGACCATGACATTTTAAAAAACTTGGTAGATACACGGAACACTGAAAGTTCAACTTACCAGGTATTTTCTTATAAAACGGACATGTCCTTTTTCTTAATTCTCCTGTGTTATATGACTCTGTGGTTTTCATGGTTCTTCTCTGCTGTGGTCTGCCACAAGGTGATTTCATCTGAACTTTGTCTTTGCCTACATTGACTGCTTCCAACTCTGCCTCATTCATTAGCTGATCTGACTTCTGATTCTCTCGTCCTGGTATCAAATCTGACTTTTTCCGTCTCTTTCTCTGGCGCGGCGACATCTGACTGGATAATTCCAGGCAACTCTCATTTAAATTCTTTGCATCAAACTCTACGTCACTTAAAGATTTTTCTGCCTTCCTCTTGTACTGCCGAGACCTCTTTTCATTAGGACTTGCCACCGGATTTGAGTTCCTGCTTTTGAAGTCACTTTCCCCGGGCACTTGCTCTTCTTTTATTTTGGGTGGTAACCCAAAATAAACACCGATATCCATCTGCTTCATTGCCTTAGTCGGTGGGTCTGCTGCCACCTTACCAGAGGACAGCATCTGCAGGGATTTAGAAGGAGTAGGTGTGCTTGGAAGTTTCTCTCTATTTGAGGCTGGAACTTTCCTACTCAGCACACCGTCTGCTGCCTTCCTGCAGGAACATGTTGAGGTGCTGTTCTTAGTACTGAGGGGTTGACTTGGCAACTCTCTAATTCTGCTTTGGGTAGGAGGGAAAGACTGACACCCTCCTCCCCGGCTTTCAAAGGCCTCTGACATTTCACCCTTAAGTAAAGGGAGAGAATGCTGATTGCCATCAGCTGATTCTCTAATTACCTGTTTCTGTTTATTTGATTGAGATGAGTGATGTTCTGCTATTTTTGCCCCAGCAGAATTTTGATACTGAGAATTAAGACCCCTGACTAAAGCCGCTGGAAATGATGGAAAATCCCCTTCAGTCTCTGCTGGGTCATCACTCTCACTTTGGAAAAGAAGTGGAGACGAATCACTTCGAGTATTGCATTTAGACAAGCCCTGATTGCATTCATTCTCAATTAAGAAGCTATTCACCTCTGGGTGGCTCTTCTCTTGGTCCAATAGTAAGGGACATGGGAGATTTTTAAGCCAAGAGGAGCTGTTATCTTCCAGGTCATCATCTTTAGAGCTTTCCGTGAAAAACAGTTCCTGTTGGGAATCATCCAACTTCCTAGTGATCTCGTCAGTTTCTTCCTCACTTTGAAGAGGCGAGTAGGAAATTTCGTCATTGCTAACATCGTTTTCTAGCAACGGTGCATTTCTTCGTTCTGAGTTGTGTTGGCTGTCTAATTCATCAGTAAGCCGCCAACCAACTCCGTCCAGTTTGTCATCATTAGCAAGTTCTGTAAACAGGGGAATTTGTTGGGATCCTGGGCTGTTTGTCAAAGAAGAAAGTTTCTCAGTTGCAGATGGAGATCTCAAGCCCGGTGGTGTCACCCTCGAGGAAGCAGCCAGGACATTTTTGAAGTCCTCGGTTTGCTTCTGACACACAGACCATTTTTCCTCAAAGCTAGAAGGCAAGCCCGGATCAGTGTGGTTGAAAGTGAGGGTGGCCAGGTGCGAGGGGCTGCCAGGAGGACTTCGACTGGCCCTGCTCTGAGCCAGCAGGAAGTGAGTATATCTCTTGTAATGAGAAGGGATTGTTGAAGTACACAGCAGACCATCAGGACACTCTGAAAACGAAACAAATACAAAAGTGTTAGGGATTCAAATCCCAGACTAAGGTTTCAGAACACTAGCCAACACGCATAGGAAAGTTATTGTGGAAAGTCTATTAATCCTACTTTGAACCCTTAAACATTTTTGGCCACTCTTTTGCCCAAAGAATGCAACACATGAAGGATGATCATGGCCGCCATGCATTTCTTGGATGTATTATGCAATTCGTTTTGAATTAAATTTTAGTCATTGCAGGTTCACAAATCTTTGACTATGGCTAAATATTTTTTTGCGACCTTGACATTCAGTGGAACAACGTGATGTGGGGCCTTGACCCCTTTCAAGTAACTTGACCATAGGCAAATTAAGTAGCTATCAAAATAAAGGTAAAAAGGTAAAGGCCCTCCCGTTGATCCTCGATTTGCTCGAGCGGGCCCAGTAACGTCTCCATTGGAGACTTTGTTGTTACTGTGTCTGGCATACTGTGTCTGGCATATCGAATACTCTCGGTAGCTTAAAGAATGCTAACCCAGTACAGGTTTGCAAGGTATAATTATTATTTGTAACTCAATTCAAATTCTTTTCTGAAAAAAAAAATACTTTTAAGGATTAACAGAAGCCTTGGATTTGATTCAAAACACCACCCAAAAATAGCATTTCTTTTCCACAAATAACTCACAAATATGAGTTCCCTCAAAAACGCACTTAGTTTACAGTAGGTGTAACTTCAACGGGCCTTGAAATTGACACCATCAGTTTCCACAGCTGATCTGTTTCACCAGGGAGGCAACATAGAGTAAAGAAAGACTGGTATTGCCCTCACAATAACATTCTGTAACCATCTCAGCATATCCTCTTATAAGTTAACTTTGGAGGTTGTCAAAACATGACTTTACATTGGAGGACTTCTTTGTTGAAAGCCACTTAAAACTGCTTTACAAAACAGTCTCTTCTTGAATGCATTTCAAGAAGAGCCTATCCAAGAATCTATTCAATCAATGGAAAATGAAAAAAATTGCTAAGAGATGGCTTCTTCTAAAATAATACTTTAGACTACAATCATTTGTGAGATATCATATATATATATACATATATACATACATATATACATACATAATGTCACTGTCACTGTCCTCCTGTTGTTTATCGATTTGCTTGAGCGGGCACCAGTAACATTGTGAGACTTGTTACTGTGTTTGGCATATGGAATACGTCACGGGTAGCTTGCCAGGTTTTGCTGTGCGGGCCAGATACTCTCGGTAGCTTGCGGGGCTCTCCGAGAGGGGCGGATGAATTGAACTTGGGCCGACCAGGTCAGCCACGTGCAAGGCAAATGCCCTACCCGCTGTGCTATCGCTCCAGCTGTGTTATCACTGGAGCTATATATGTATATATGAGACTAATATCCAAGGTAAAGGTAAACAGGGGTCAGAAAGACAGGTCAAAGGTTGGAAGCTTGGCACAAGAGTGCGTGGGCGGTGAAAGGCATATGTAAAGGGATGTACCTGATAACCTTTCGTAATCTGTATAGCAAACCATAAGACCCAAAAGGAAAGAGGAAGGAGGGGGGGCGGGAGAGAGAGAAAAGAAAGTGCCTGCCATAGTGCCAGATGGTGGGATGAGGTTGGGGGACAGGAGGGAAACTGGGACCACCCTGGTGGTAGGAAAAATACAGTGGTGAAGGGATGGGTGTTGGAACATTATATGACTGAAATTCACTCATGAACAACTTTGTGAATGTGTGTATCACTGTGATTCTATTAAAAATAAATTTAAAAAATAAAATAGAATTTTAATCTGAAAAGTCCGCAATGGGCTTCTCAACTTTTCTGATTTTCAAGCCACTTCAAAGCAAATCACTAGTAAGTCTTTGGGTTTTTACTTACTACACTTTCACAAGAAAGACAAATCCAAGTTTTAAAAGTTACTTTGCATCTTCACTTTGATGCAAAGTGAAGGGCCTAAGGGCCAGGGAGATTGTTCAAAGGATTGCGTGCTTTGTACCAGGAGAAGTGGGTTCAATCTCAAGGACTAGGGTATTCTGAACATCACCAGAAATGACCCGCCCCAGCCCTCCCAACACATTGGGAGTAGCCCTGCTAGCCCCACCGAGTGTAGTCCTACTGTTCTCCCCAGACAAAGGTAACAATGACTTAAATAGTTTTAGTTAAAAAATAAAATGATAAACTATAAAATAAAAATAAAACCTTTTTTTCCCTGAATTATAGTTACTATGAAGAGCATATATACTTATTTTTCTATTTAAAAATTTTGGGGGCGCCTGGAGCGATAGCACAGCAGGTAGGGCGTTTGCTTTGCATGCGTTCAACCTGGGTTCGATTCCCAGCATCCCATATGGTCCCCCAAGCACTGCCAGGAGTAATTCCTGAGTGAATGAGCCAGGAGTAACCCCTGTGTATCGCCGGGTGTGACCCAAAAAAAAGAAAAAAACTAAAATTTTTTTTTCCTGAAAACATAGGATCTACTTTCCTCTGAGTTGTTGTTTGATGCACCATGATTTATGATACTGTTAATGGTCAGGGTTTCAGATCACTACCTATTTATCATCTTACCTATGTCAGAGGCAGGTGGAGAATCCAAACACTCGAAAACATGCCATCGAGGTGTCTGACCTAGCAATGAGGAAAAAGGCATCTGGCAGTTGGGACAGTATCCATCATAAACTGGACGACTCTTTGGTGTCCCTTGCTTGTTTCTGGGGGTGCGACGGTGTTTTCTGGGGGTGGTCTCCTCCTGCTGGGACTGTGGGATGCTGTCTTCACCGCTACAATTTTGACTGGAAACTACTGAATTCTCACTCTTCTCTTCTCCCAGGCACACTTCTGGGACCTTCACAGTCTCTTGAGCATCTACTGGGCTTTTTTTATTTTTCTTTCGTTTTGACCGGTATGTCCCATCTGTTGCTTTTTCAACAGATTTCGAGATCTTCCCAGAGTTCTTGTTTGGGTGCACTGGTTTTGGTTTTCTTTTGGATTTATATTCCCAAATGTCTTCCTCTGAAAGAGAGTCTTCCAACATGGCAAAATAATTTTTGTCATTAAAAAAGCACCAATCTTCTTGAGTCCACTTCTTTTTATAAAAAGTTCTTAAAGAAATTATTTTGTCGAGAACAGAAAGGAAAACCAAAATGCCACTAATCTGTTGGTATCTGAAGTTCCTGTAATGAATAGATTGACAAACTACAGACCAGATGCTTGAGAATACTTGTTGTTCCATTTATACAACAAAATTAAGAGGACCCACCATGGGAGGTAGCATCTGAGTTTTACATTGCGACTGCTACCTCATTCAGTGGATCCTGATCTTTCCCACAATTTGATTCATAAAAATAAAAAATATATATATATAGTAACAGTCTGAAAATCAATCCCTCACGGGAAGTATTGACTTAAGAGTTTAGTCTTTGAACAAACACTGAAAATCGGTTATAAAGTGCCTGTCAGTTCTCTTTCAATTGGACAATGGCCCAAATAACTCACAAACTCCCAGTCTCTGGGCAATTGGCTTCTCAGGTCAGTCCAAACACTAAAAAGGCAACCTGGTTTTACTACTTCCACCATAATCAAAGGTGCAGGATTTGCAACAAGCTTAACCACCCTTGATCTGTGACTCCTGGAAATTCAACAGCGTCGGTCTCGGGCGTCTGTCCAACATCTTCCTCCAGCAGCAATGAACCAACTGCACAGTGAGCAAACACAAGTCAAATCATGTGAATTCGAGCGAGCACTGGGGCCACATTCCTAGGCGGGGGCTTACGAGGGGGTCTGCCCTGGAGACTGCCAAACGGCTCTGCACCAGCCTCAAACCCACGGATAGTTGCCTCTGACACCTCCCCCCTGCTTCTACCTTTGGGCCCGCAAGTCCTCCCCTCGGAAACCCCCGGGGGATGCTCGGCCCTGCCACCTGGCCCCGGCGCCCGGGCTCGGGGTTGCAGCTGCTTCCAATCCCCGGGCCGGTCCCCTCCCCATCCCGCAGCCGAGGCATTCGCTCCCGCACTTTCAGCACGCGGGGGTGACACCGCGGGGGCGCGGGGCAGCCGTTCGGGTGGCTGTCCGGCGTCCAGAGCTGTCCCGGGAGCACCACCCTCGCGTCCAGTACCTTCCTGGTCTTGGCGGGAACGGCTTCCTGCGGGCGGGCCCGCGCCGCCCCGTGTCGAATCATGCGAGCGCGAGCCTCGGGAGGCACCTTAACCTCACGCGCGCTTTCCGGGGTGCTCCCGAGAATCTGTTGCATTTTACTTGTTTTGTTTCTCCGACCTGCCAGTTTCCAAAGCTTAGGGTGTATGTGTGTGTGTGTGTCTGGGTGGGAGGTGGGAGCCAACCCCCGAAGGGCGCTTGTGGAATCTGCCGCCCCGAACGTCCAGCCTGGGCGCGGCGCCGGACCGCGGAGGGGCGGGGTGGCCGCGGCCCCGGGGCTTGCAGGACGCGCGCCCGCGCGGGGAGCGTTTGCACGCGGGCGTGTGCATGCCCGCTTCCCGGGGTGCGGGGGGCGCTGGTGGCGGCGGCGGCGTGGGCGGGGAAGGCCCGGACCCGGGTCCGGAACGCCGGGGGACATGGCGGCGGCCGGCCCGCGTAGCCGCAGCCTCGCGGGCCTGCTCCCCGCGCAGACCTCGCTGGAGTACGCGCTGCTCGACGCCGTCACGCAGGACGAGCAGGACCACCTGGTCTACCAGTACCTGCAGAAGGTGGACGGCTGGGAGCAGGACCTGGCCCTGCCCGAGTTTCCGGAAGGTGAGGGGCCGGCCGCGGGGTGGGGACCCCGCCCGGGCCCTCCCCTGCGCGCCCCGCGCCCTCCCCGGACGCCCCACTGGGGCCCCAGGACGCAGCAGACTCGGGGGCTCTCCAGCTGGGCGGTATTGGGGGTGTGTGTGTGTGCGGGGACACCTACGTGCTGGGCTCTCGGCTTCCAGAACCGGGCGGGGCGTGTGCGGGCGACGCTGACATTCCAGGAAACTGGGGACGGGCCCTTTAGGGTAGCGCCGGAAAGGTCCTCGCCTCCGCAGTGCCCGGAGTAGGGGGCAGCCCCCGCATCCTTCCTGGTCGCGTCGCAGCCAACACTGATCCATCGCTTCTGGAATGCCCTCAACACTCCCGGGGAATTGGCCCCGATGTCATCGGGGCTGCAGCTCCCGGAAGTGTTTTTTTCTTTTTTTTTCTTTTTTTTTTCTTTTTTTAAATTTTGGTCCCGTTTCACAGAGGAGGAAATTGATCCATCCCCCCACCCTCCACCCCATCCTTTGCGTCGGAGGTTAAGTCACTGGCCCAAGTCTGATCGAACTGAGCCCTTGCACTGCCCAGTCTCTTCTTCCATCCCAAGTCCTGCCCCTGCTCTTTGTAAACTCGGGCTCCTCGAGGTCCCCTCTCCAGAGTTTGAATTCCAGCGCTGGGATCGCCTGGAACACGAGGGCACTGATATTCGCCGTGCTATTTGTGGTGTTTGTGAAGTACATCTTCTTGCTGTGATAAATGAGACCACTTTACCTTGTTTGGTTGAGACTGGCATTGTTTTGCCCCGTGGTGTTGGCATAAGTCCTGGCAGGACACTGAAACCAAGTGTATAGTTGATTGGTTGGATGGCCCCCCCCCCCCCCCCCCCCCCCCCCCCCCCCCCCCCGCTCAGTGTCTCCAGGGAGGGGATATCAGAACTCCCTGACATCAGAGCCTGGTGTATCTTTTCAGCCTGCTCCTCCTTCCTTGAAAGGGGCTTTTTTCTTTTATATTTTATTTTTTTAAAATCACTTGAACTGCTTTTGATGATTGTGGAATTCTTGCAGAAGAATTGGGTGCATGAGCGAAAGAAACAAAACAGTTACAGAGAAGGGTGCATCAATACTAAATTTGTAAGAAGTTAGATAGTCCACTTTTACCAGCTTTGCTTTAGAATGGGGTTTCTTGTTTTCTTGTTCTGTTTGTATTTACAGTGATTGTATTTTATCACCAAGAGGATTGACCTCTGTGACCTGTAAAAAATAAAATAGTTTTGAGATTCTCAATTTTTTTCAGCTAGACCTGATTATTAAGGCCAGAAAGCTAGAGATGTGTTTCTCTTGGTTTTACAGTAGACTGTAATCAAGGGATTGTAAATGTAACTATCACAAAAACAGTGTGTTTTGTTTCTTAGAGAAAGTACAAGCTTATGAGAGGAGTGGTGTAATGAATGAGTAAAGTCAGACACATTTAGGATCGTCAGTTTTCCCATTTGTTAATTGCATGACTTTGAGCAAGTTACTTCTCTAAACCTTACTGTTCTCAGTTATAAAGTGGAAACAGTATTTATTTTTCAGGGTTACTATACATGCAAGGCTCTTAGCTCATAAGCAAACTCACTAAATGTTACCGCAGGGCTGGAGCATTAGTACAGCTTGTAAGGCATTTGCCTTGCGTGGTGCAGACCCAGTTTTGATCCCTAGCGTGCCATATGGTCCAGGAGTGATCTCTGAGCTGAGTCAGTAGTAAATCCTGAGCACTGCTGGGTGAGGCCCCCAAACCAACAAGTAATTAAAATTATGGCCATAATAATTATTGTAAAATTTACTTTTCTTGTAGGACCTTGTAGCAATTGAGATGTTAGTGTGCTTTCTCTATTATTCTCTCATCACCAGTTCAGTCACTCTTGACTAATGAAAATAAATTAGAAGATTGATCCAGACATACTTTGCAATTATGAAATATGCATAAATTAGTTTGAAGTTTTATATCATCACTATATCTGGCTTAAAATTAACTCTTTACTGTGGTTGTGTAGCTTTTGCTGCAGTTTTTGGCATTAGCTATTGTATCTCCCTTGTTCCAGTCAACTTTTGTTTTCTGTGTCTATAAAGTATTTCAAAATACCTGCTTCAAAACATAATTAGTCCTTTAGTAACTATATTTACCAGTAAGCAACAAATTATCTTCCAGGTGTTGTACTCCAGTACTTTTATTTAGGAGATGGAGGGGTATGAGAGAACCCCAGAAAGTAAAAGAAGGGGATTACTCATCCCGAGTTGGGGTGAAAGTCAGAGCAGATTGTGCTGAGGTGTACTTTATTATTCAGTCTAAGAAATCTTTCTTTGGTGCAGGAGAGATAGTATGGTAGGGAAAGCGCTTGCCTTGCATTGACTCCAGGGTGGGGTCCCCAGCACCACATAGGGTCCTCAGAGCCCTGCCAGGAGTGATCCCTGAGCACAGAATCAGGAATAAGTACTGAGCACCACTGGATGCGACCCACCCAGGTGAAATAAAAAGAAAGAAAAGAAAATCTTTATAATATAATAGTTAAAATAGTAACTTATGGTCAAGTTATTATACATGTTTATATACAAAGATACAGATTCATGAGATTCTAATATTTTTTAAGGGAAGAGAATACTAATTATAACATTATTTCCAGTATATAATTTAGCCATTTTGCCTAACTTTGCTGTTTAGCTCTTTATCTTGTAAATTTGGCTGAGGCATTCTTAATTTCTCTTCGTTCTCTTTTTTTTTCTTGTAAATCTCCTTTTCTCAGCGGCTTTGTACCTAATTGTATACTTCAGGCCTCTTAATAATTGACATTCTCTTTTGTTTTTTATTTTTGTATTGATTTTCCTTTCTTTCACCTGCAGATCAGAATTTCTGGAAGTTTGGTAGATTTGCAGGGAAGTTTTCTATTTGCAGGGTACCTTTTAAAAGCACTTCCCTGTCCTTTTCCCATCCCTCTGTAGGAATAACAGTGGCCATTTTTTACTGAAAAGTTTTAGATAAATTTTCTTTTTTTGTCTTTTCCTTTAATCATGATCATATATTTTTCTGTGAATTTCAGGTTTGGAATGGCTGAACACAGAAGGGCCTATTTCTGTCTACAAGGATTTATGTGGAAAAGTGGTCGTGCTTGACTTCTTCACCTACTGCTGCATAAACTGTATTCACCTGTTGCCTGATCTCCACGCTTTAGAAAAGATGTATTCAGATACAGGTATCAGTCCTTTAATCTCTTCCTAATAGACCCGCTCAAAAAGGCATTGGGAGTGCAGCTGATTGGTTTGCGTATAGGAGAATGAACAGTTGGCAAGACTTCAATGATTCTAAAAGTAATCTCTAATCTATGAATGAAGGACGCCACTTTGCATAAGAAGTTAACTTTGGTGACAATTCCTTAAGAACCAACATTTCTTTCATTTCCGAATATTGTTTTGTTTCGTCTTATTTTTGTTGTAGTTGTTTTGGGGCCACACATAGTTGTGCTCAGGGATATCTTGGCAGTGCTGGAGATAAAACTGGGGTCAGCTGCATGCAAGGCAGCACCTTATTCCATGTAGTATCTCTCCTGCCCCAAGCACTAACATTTAGTCTCTAGTTCTTTAAGAATAAGGACATAAGTTGCTTTTTTTTTTTCATGATCAACTCTTTGGTTTTTGGATTGGGGGCTATACCCAATGGTACTCAGGCATACGCCTGGCTCTGTGCTCAAGAGTCACTCTTGGTGATATAGAGGGGACCATATGGAGTGCTGGCAATTGAACCAGAGGCTGCTGCATGCAAGTACAATTATCCTTGCACTATCTCCCAGGCTCCTTTATGATCTCTCTTTAAGCATACCTGAAATTACCTAAATTTGTTCAATGATAAATACTCCATGCCTCCGTGCAGATCGTTCTGCTAAGGCTTAGAAGGTCTGTGATAAAGTCCAATGAAAAAGCACATGGAACCTGAGGAAAGTTCAAGGAAAATGTTCCCCAGAAAAAGGAACTTGGAAAATCATCATTGTGGCTGAAAGTGAAAATGGGGGAGAGGTGTGGGTGGTGATGGAAGAAGCAGCAGGTAGAAGCAGGCGCGTGAGGCAGAGTAGGACTCTTGGGAACGGTGAAGCATCCCTCAAAAAAATGACATGAAAGGATTTTAGGTAGGTGAGGTCTGACCCTCACTGTAAAGGGCTTCACATAAAATTCTTACTCTTTTTGATTTTTTTTCCTTCCATTGAAAATGGGAATGTTTTAGGTTGGTTTTAGTTTAATAGAAGAATAAAATAATGAGATTTGTAATTTAGAAAAGCACTACAGGGGGCCAGAGAAATAGTACAGTGGGGAGGGTGCTTGCTGTTCATATGACCAATTCAGGTTCAATCCTCAGCATCCCAGATGACCCCAGAGCCCACCAGGAGTGATCCCTGAGTACAGAGCCAGGAGTAATCCCTGAGCACTACCAGGTGTGGTCCAAAAACTAAAGAAAAAGCAAAGGACTAGAGATTAGGCTAAGAATCCTGAAATTAGGTCCTTGCAGACGATTCAGTGGTTTACTGGACCTGGGTTCAAACCATCCCACCAAACAGAGGCCAATGAGAGGTCTTCTTCACTCCTGCTCCCACATGATCCTGGTGCCCTCTGGCCTGGGCAGCCCGCACCCCACTCCCATAGGTAACTTTTTGAAGAAGTAATAAGGATCCTAAAGTTATCTGTTCTAAAAGATGAAATCTGGGTGCCGGAGAGATAGTATAGTGGGTAGGGCACTTGCCTTGCACACAGAAGACTTGGGTTCGATCCCTGGCATATAGTTTCTTGAGCACCGCTCATTGTGATTCCTGGGTGCAGAGCCAGGAGAAACTCTGGAGCATTGCCTTGTGGTCCTCAAACTAAAACAGAACAAAAATAAATAAAAGATGAAATTTGGTCAATTACACTGAAAGCAAATTTCATGATTTCTTAGACTCCTTATAATCTCTTTACCAGTTTATTGCCTGTGTTTTTAATATAAATACATTGTGACCAAAAAGAAAAAAAAAACACCTATTTTCACATACAGATACACTTGTGACCGGTAAAATGCTTTGTAAGAGGATTCAGCATTGTAATTTCTAAGAAACATTATTCTGGAAAGTATGCTGCTATTTGAAAATACTTAGAAATGAAAATAGATTTTTATATTGCTTAGAAGATAGGTTCAATTTCTGTTCCCCCAAAGCAGGCATACCCCGAGATAGATTGTCGCACACAAGGTCAGTAAGCTGTCACTAAATTAATTTGCTCTCGGGGAGCTGAGCATCTTGTCTGCTTCCCGCCTGACGTGTTTCCGAACTTGCTTGCAGCCGTGCGATTTGCATTCTTGGAGTGACATTCGGCAGCCTGTTTAAAATCCCATGGAATATTCAGTTCATTTTATCAGTAAGCCAGAATTGTTGGCTGGGTGAGAAAGTGCTTATTAATTCAAAAGCACCCTGAAAAATGACCCAGTTTCAAACTCACTTTCTTTTCTTGGCAAAGCAGATTTTAAAGCCAAATTCGTAATGGTGACCAGTCAATGCTTTTGAGTAGCTTAAGAGAAATTTAAATGCCAGAGTCGAAAGCAAAAAGTAACAAGTTAATAGTAACAAATGGTCTGAGAGTCAAATATTTTAAAAGAAAGTGCCTGTGGTCCTAGCTTAACTGTGTGTACATTTATGTTGATTTGACACGCTGTAGTGCCTTCTTTTCCTTTCTGTTTCTAAAATTTTTACCTCTTTTTGCTGAATGTGTTAATGATATACTTTATACTCAAATTTTAATTATTCTTGGTTTGGGGGCTGCATCTGGCTGTGCTCAGGGTTTACACCTGGCTCTGTGCCCCAGGATCATTTCTAATGGGGCTTGGGGGACCATATGTGTTGCCGAGGATCGAACCCTGGTCAGCTGCTTGCAAAGCAAGCTCCCTGCTGGCTGTACTGTTACTCTGGCCTTGCTCAGATTTTTCAAAAGCACTTGTTTCATAAGAAAACATCTATTAAGAAAACTTGGAATATTTTAAAACTATGATCGTGAGATATATAGCACTGTAGCCCTGTCTTCCCATTGTTCATCGATTTGTTCGAGTGGGCACCAGTAACATCTCCGTTGTGAGACTTGTTGTTACTGTTTTTGGCCTATCGAATACACCACGGGGAGCTTGCCAGGCTTGCCCCATCCCCCTCGGTAGCTTGCCAGGCTCTCTGAGAGGGATAGGTGAATCGAACCCAGGTCGGCTGCGTGCAAGGAAAACACCCTACCCACTGTGCTATCATTACAGTCTATGATTATGATATATATCTATTCATTAATGTGTGTTTAAATGAGGCTTTCATAAATCTAAATGCTCTAATACTACTGAGTAAATGCCAGAGTTCCCGTTATATATGATGTGCTAGGTTTCCGTTTCATACCTTATTAAGAATGATCCGACTGTATTTGGAATTTATAGTGAAAGTAAGCTGAGAAATGAGATGGTATATGATTTTGCTGTGTGTGAGGGTTTCCACAGCTCTCCCCAGAGTGGTGAATTCATTAGGAAGACTCACGGAATTCACAGTAGCGTTCTTTCGGGACTGTGAAGTGCTCCATACAGGCAGGGAGTACAAAGCGGCCAGAATCAGCAGGGCAAAGACACACAAGCTTCCCAGGCCCGTTGACCCAAAAACTGGCCTCCACAGACAGCTGCATGATTTTCTCCCATGAGGAGGGAGCAGTGGCAACACTTTTGAATTCTTACCCCAAGGAAAGCTCAGTGGCCAGGGAAGCTTGGAAGCTTCTTCCTGGCATCAGGGACCAGATTTCCTCAGGGCCAAAGGAAGTCCAACATCCAGTGTCGCCTGGGGCCTCATCCGCATGGTTCCTCGAAAAGCAGGATGTGCCTGGTGCCACAGGCTGCCGTGGTCCTGGCCCGGATGCCCAGCAGTCAGGCCCACCATGTTAGAGTCTCCACTCGTGTGCTTCCTTTTGATGAGTGTTCTCTGCATTTATTAATCCATGTCCTTACTCGGTTTTTAAAAGTTGGTCATTTTATGGCAGACTTTCTGGGTGTTTAATGAGGATACAAGGTAATGGCAATTTTTTGAAATGAGAAGGATTTCTGACTTACTTCTGGTCTCTAGTCTACTGTTAGTGATTTTGATCCTTTCTTATTTCTCTTCTTGGTATAAAATCTGAAGCCCTCCCAGCATCTTCTCCCTTCCTTGTCTCTGTCTCCTCCACTGACTTTACTTGCTCCCTGGCTTTACTTGGCTCCGTTCCATTGTTTTCTCGCAATGGGCCTGAATGCGTTTCCTCCCACGAGAATGGCCTTCCTGGGCCTTTCCTGCCTAGAAAGATCATTCCTGACTTTTAGATCTCCAAATGTCTCAGTCGATAGTTGTTTTTCTCGCCTGAAACTCGAATTTTTTTCAGTCTTCGAATTTAATTAAGTATACTGGGATAAATAGTATGTTCCATACATCAAACTACTGCACTGCACTGTACTGTCCTCCCGCTGTTCATCGATTTGCTAGAGTGGGCCCAGTAGCGTCTCCACTTTGAGACTCGTTGTTACTGTGTTTGGCATATCGAATACACTTTATTAAAAGAAGTAGATCATAGTGCACTAACATCTCACTTGCCTAGACTCATTGACAGAAATACTTCACTGATTTGCAGATATTTTAAAACTAGAATTTTGTTGCAGTTTATATGTTTCAGTTACTGTTATTGATCATTCTGTTCTACTCACTTGTCCCACCCAGTTTGGGGTCTCAGTTTCTACAAAATATTCCCAGGCCAGGAGATAGTACAGTGGTTAGGGCACATGCCTGGCCTAAACCTGACCCCAGTTCCATCCCTTAGTGGCACATGACCCTCCGAGCATTGCCAGTGTGGCCTGGAGGCCCCCAACCCCTACAGGCAGCCCAGGGATTCGCTGACACCTGAGGACACAAGCCTTGAGATATCCTCACACACTTGTGCTGACCCACGGGCGAGATCCCCGGGCTTCTGAGTACCCCTAGGATGGCTTCCCCCAGACTAAAATAAAGTGATTTCATAGACCTGCTTCAATTTATAATTCATAGTTTCAGTAACTATTTCTGAGCAACAGGTTCATTCATTTATTATTTTTTACGTTTAAAACTTAAACACTTGATTAACAAAGTTGTTCATAATATGGTTCTTTCAGGTAGTCAACATTCCAACACCAATCCCACCAAAGGTGGGTGTGAGTGAC